ATAAAAAATCCTTACATATAGTTTTTTATAAGTGTGCTCAACTATGTTTGTGTTTATACTGATGTGTAACACCCCAAGGTGTCTTGCACTATATACAAAATTAAAAAATTATATTTTACTGTGTTACATTTCAAGTATTTTTTGTTTTGAATTTTTTCTCGAATTTTTTCATGAAATTATAGAATGTAGATCATTACAATATTTAGTATAAATTTTTAATTAGTTATAATAATCAATTGATATTATTGTGAGTTTACCGCGTTTGTGCCCATACAGCGTGTAGCCCATTGGTCCTAACTTTTTATTTTATAATTATAAATATAATCATCTTTTAAAAATTAAATTTTTTTATTTCTCATCAATTAATTATTTTAACAAGTAACAATACACGGTGTCGACTTTGGTTAATAAATGTCAGCACTTTATATTTGGTTAATTAATCGATAACGACCGTTAACACTTTACACTTTTACGTTCACACTCTAACACACTGATAAAAAATTTTAGTTTTTATGTTTAAAAACTTTTACAAAACGTAAACAAAAACTTGAAACAAACCTTTGTTTCTTTACCGAGCAAAAATTTTACTAGCGTTTTGTTTTTTCGAGAGAAGAAAAACGACTGTACGGCCGTTAAAAAATTTTAAGCGACCAAAGAAAGTCAAGTAAATAAATAAAAAAGGAACTTTATAGAAACCTTTGTCGTTTCTAAAAGGGCTACATTATTTATTGTAAATCGCGCCATAAAGTGTGCTGACAGATCGTTGAAGCTTTCTAAAAAGATCATTTCACACAGTTGTTCAAATGATAGGGCGAAATAGAGAGAAAAAAACAAAAACATTAAAACTCCAATTAAAAACATTAAAATTGCGATTAAAATCATTAAAATTGCGATTAAAATTGCGATTAAAAATAAATGTAGAATCTATTTCAGAGGAGGAAAAAATGTTTAAACATCAACTTAAAAGGGAACATATTTTATATGATTATAATTCTTTTCAATATATTGAATTTATTGATGGTGGATTATTTGGAACAATTTCTCGTGCATTTTCAAAGCATCATCAAGAACTTGTAGCGTTAAAATCCATTAATATTGATCAACAATATACTTTTGAACAATTTCTTAATGAGGTAATAAATCTGTAAATCTTTTTTTTTTATCCAACAAATTTATATATTCACAATTTGATTTTTAAAGGCAAAGCAACATCGTAAAGTAGAATTTCACAGTAATATATTGAAGTTTTATGGCGTAACAAAAGAAAGTGTGTTGAGTTTTTGTTATTAAATTATTGTTATATTTGTTATACTTTGTTAATTTAAATTTTTTTACATCTCAATAAAGAAAAACATAAAAAAAATTACATGTTTGTATTAGAGTATGCAAATAATGGTAATTTATGTGATTATTTAAAAACCAATTTCAATATAATGGATTGGAATGCTAAATTAAAATTTGCAAAACAAATTGTAAGTGCTGTAGGCTGTTTGCATGAAAATAAAATAGTACATAGAGATCTGGTACGTATAAACATTACTTATTTATATTTAATTATTTTTACATTTTTAACACATAGTAATAACTAATAACTAACATTAATTTTTTTAAATAGCATCCTAAAAATATTCTAATTCATGATGGAGATATTAAAATTTGTGATTTTGGAATCTCAAAATCTTTATTGGGTCCTTCAATAGAAGCTTCCAAAAAATTTGGTACAATAAGATACTCAGATCCACAATATTTAAACAATATTGAAAATTATAGTCGCAATGAAAAATCAGATATTTATAGTATTGGAGTGCTTTTATGGGAGCTGTCAAGTGGCCATGCTCCATTTGCAGATAAGTCAATCAAATTCACTGATTTAATGCTTATCATAACATCAGGTGAACGTGAAGCAATAATCAAGGGAACTCCAAGAAAATATGCAGAAATATATACAGGTAATAATGAGAAAGAATTATATGACCATTTGTTATAATTTTCAATGGATAGTTCTGAAAATATTTTTTAAATAATAATTTATACTTAAAATTTTATTTTATAAAGCATGTTGGCAAGAAAATCCAGATCTCCGTCCTCATATTGATCAAGTTATGCAGGATTTGAATAATGTAGACATAACTAACACTATTGAAGATATTGTTAATTTAACAAATCAATCTAATAATGAATTACAAAATGATGATTTATTATATTCGACAGAACTTTCCATCTCCATTATCAGCATGAACTGATAGTTTAAACACACTTAAATGATAAGAAAACATATGAAGTGTATAATATTTTAAGTGTTATTAAACACATTCACACACAGAGAGAAAGAGATATATATATAGACTATTATTATAATAGATTTCTTATCATAAATTTATTGTTATAGATTTGTTATTTTTATAATTATGTTAACTCATAATAATGTAATTTTTTAGGCATGCAATTATTCATAATAATTTTGAGTATTTGCAATTAATTATGCGGGTACCGTATTCTCTGGAATATAAGCACCACTCAAATATAAGCACCAGTATGAATTTGCAATGAAAAAACAAAAAAAAATAGAAAAATAAATAAATATAAATATAAGCACCACATATTTTGAATTATTTTTATTTTTATATAATAAATAAAAAATAAGAAATTTTTTATTTTGACTATTCTTTTCCAGAATCACCAGACTCCTCCTCTTCTAATTCATCTAATTCATCAGCTGAATCATCATTTCTATTTAATATTTCACGTTCATCTTCCTCATTTTCATTTTCATCCTCCTCAT